TCTCATCATCATCCTTACTACGGAGTACAGTTAGAGTGTTTCCATGACCCGTGGCGTTGTCTGTGCCAAGAAATGAGACGAGCTGCTATTTGACCGAGGCCGAAAGCCTTGGAAACGGCTGCTGAATGCCATTGAAGGAGAATTGCTGGCTCGTAAAGTGAGACATTGTGCTGCTTGTTGTCCGGGACATCGCGGGTCAGATGAGACAAGAGTTTGATCGGAATTCGTTCTAGTGCGCATACACCAGCCACGATTCGAACGTGAACTATAATCCAGCGGCATTCCGATGTCAGCACCTTCCGAGCCTCTGTAGATGCAACAACGCAAAGCGCCAGTGGTGGAGAACAGTCTACCATTCGACTTGTGGTCCCCGAGGGGCCTCGATCCCCTGAATATGGAATGCGGGAATCCCTTTTCGAATTGGAATGAAACATCCTTCAGGCGAAGGATATTCAGGGTTCGGGAGTGATGATATCCAGCTGGATGGCGAAATTCGACAACTACAGGTTCTTGGATATGGCAGTCAGCTTACAAAACGAATCCAAGGCCTGAACAACCCCATGCTAGAGGTGTCCGACCTTCGTCAACACAAGGGTTTCTCCTCATCCACCACCAGAATCTGGCGGCAATAGGTCGACTTGCCGGCGAATATGATGTTTCGTTATCTTTTCTCATCTCTCGCTTTGGCGAATTGTTGTCATGGACACAATCAGCTACACAAGGCAAACATACAAGCTCGTGCAGACCTGCCGGTTGAGTTTTGTTACACCTATACAACTACCTTTTTGGTGCCAGTAGACAATGCTATTCAAACGCCAGCTCCCATTCCGATCAAGTCACCGCCAGCTTCGTTCGTCACGATAACGCAACCATATACCGGACTTGACCCTATCACAGGTCCTACTGCTGTTACGACGATCGCTCCATCTGGGACAAACCCGGGTACGGTTATTGTCCAGACGCCAACATCAATCCCTCCGTTCCTATTACCCTCATTTGTCACGACGACAGAATTATACACCGGAACAGTACCCATCACCGGGCCTACTACGGTCACAACCATACCTCCATCCGGCACACATCCCGGTACAGTCATCATACAGACGCCTGCCTCTCGCTTTCTCTTCCCACCCTCGTTCGTCACGACGACAGAGCCATACACTGGAACTGTACCAATCACGGGACCAACCACTGTCACAACCATACCCCCTTCGGGCACAAACCCTGGAACTGTCATCATCCAAACGCCGGGCTCAACCATCACGACGACGCAGCCTTATACCGGGACTATACCTATAACTGGACCTACCACCGTGACGACTATACCAGCGTTCGGCACGAATCCTGGCACCGTTATTGTTCAGACGCCAACATCTGTTCCAGCGTCCTTCCGCCCACAGTCTACCGTAACAATCACACAGCCATACACTGGCACTTTCCCCATTACTGGGCCTACGACCATTATCACGATTCCTGCGTCTGGAACAGTGCCTGGTACTGTTATTATTCAGACGCCGACATCAGTTCCTGTGCCACCCCAGCCGCCCTCCACTGTGACGATCACTCAGCCATATACTGGCACCGTTCCTATCACAGGACCTACGACCGTAACGACTATTCCCCCATCTGGGACAGTGCCAGGGACTGTCATTATCCAGACGCCGACATCAGTTCCTGTACCGCCCCAGCCACCCACTACTGTGACGATCACTCAGCCATATACAGGCACTGTCCCTATTACAGGGCCCACAACGATCACCACCATCTCTCCATCCGGCACGGTACCTGGAACAGTCATCATTCAGACGCCAACCTCAGTTCCTATACCGCCCCAGCCACAGTCGACCGTGACAATCACACAGCCGTACACTGGCACCGTCCCCATCTCAGGACCTACGACTGTTGCGACTATCCCTGCCTCAGGTACAGTGCCCGGTACTGTCATTATTCAGACTCCCGCGTCCCAAGTCATTCCCAGTGTGAGCAACGCAGCACCCGAGCCCAGCAGCTCAGCACCAGTACCTAGCAGCTCAGTACCGCCACCCAGCAGCTCAGTACCGCCACCCAGCAGTTCAGCGCCAGTACCTAGCAGCATCTCAAGCGTCCCAAGCGTTGCCTCGAGTGTTGCCTCAAGTGCTACCCCAAGCCAGAGCGCGATTCCGAGCGATGCCTGCGAGCCGGCCCTTGTCCAAAATTGCCCAGGTTCAGGACTGGATGTTAGCCTTTACGCAAACTCATGGAGCCCACTCCTCGGCTACGGCGTTCCTCCCGTCAGGAACCCGACAGGCGGCGTCGGTCCTGACTACTATCGACCGCTCACACCCCTGGACACCGGCGTGACGAATGAATTGTCGTTCCCGGCACCTGTACGCCCGCCTAACAACCAGGGAGTTCGCTTGCCTGAGCAGCCTGCCATCAACTACTTCCCGACCGCTACGTCGACCTACGCTGGCATGACATTCAACCCAAACAACATCACCCTCGTGTACACAGGCTACTACGTCCCCGCCAGCAGCGGCACGTACGAATTCTGCTCCGCCGATGCTGACAACGTTGTAAACTTTTACTTTGGCCAGGCGGCGTTCCCCTGCGGCGACGCGTCTGTTACCTCGACACCAGCCGGCATCGATCCTACAATTTATCAGGCCTTCGGCTTCACCCCCGCAACCGTCTGCGTGTCGAGAGATCTCGTGGCCGGCTTGCCGTACCCGATGCGTATCGTCTACGGCAACTACGGTTTGCCTGCGGGTTCGACCGTCACGATTGCTCCTCCTGGGGAGGCCGGGTCTTCCACTTGGGCTGGGCAGTTGTACGAGGGGACTTGCACGACCTTGACGCCACCGACGAGATTCAAGCAACTGTAATGTCATCCCGGGTTGGCAATAATTTATTTTGTACCGAGGCAAGGCAGATAGAATCAATTAGTTTTGACGCAGGGAGCATGAAAGAACTTTTCCCCCACACAAATAGTAGTGAATTTCGACAGCTACTCCAGATATTGGAGACTATTTCAGGTCGCGGTTCATATGTGAGAGGCTGCAACGAATCGACTTGGGCCAGCAAGGCCCGGGCACGTCTAACGTGATATAAGTCTATCGTAACTGTTTTTTAAGATGTCTTCCCTTAGCCCTTTGGTACCCTTAAAGGCGTGAAACTTCGCGAAGATGATGATAGGATCACTACCACTAGCACCGAGGTTCAAACGTTAGAATTTATAAGCCAGTTGTTGAAGGATATGTCGTGTTCCAGCGTCTTCGCCCAGGTAAGCAATGCCTTTGTATCCGCACCAAGATTAACCTTGGGTCAGGTATGCCTAGATGCCATGAGAGCTCTACCGCGGCAGAGAAGTTTCTGACAACAATGAACGTGCCGACATCGTCAGGTCTCAAAATTACCCTGTTGATCCCTAAGTGGAAATAAATACAGCTGGAGATTATCACTCGTACACCTGATCTCACAGAGTCGGTAACACGGTGCATCTGGTAACGAACTAGAATCCGAAGAAAGTTAATTCAGAACGCATCAAGTCAAATCCAAATCTCTCTGTCTCCCTCCCTGCACCTATCGACTGCTCCTAAGCTCTGGGGGTCCGCCAAGGCAGCCTACTGTCTTTGCCACATACTCGAGATCCAAAGGCTCGTCAACGAAATGCCGAAATAGAATGGAGACGCGCAAGCCAACACGCCGTTCTGAATTAAAACCCTATGTGAGCCGCGCGGGCCCAAAAATTCGCGAAGAATTGCCCTGGGCCAGTTACAGAAGTCATGCGCGTAAGCTGCCGACGTGCTTGTCCTTACCTCGTACTTGAGACGGCAAATCTCAGCACGACACATTACGTCTGAGCTGCTTGCACTGATTGCTTCATGCCCGTGGTCCCATCGGCTTTGGACTTCCAAGAGGCCCGTATCCCTCATGAGCCGGCCTACGTGTTGTTTTCTCTTCAGGACGCAGTCATCGATCTACCATCCAGGTTCAGAACCCTGGAGCCCGATTTCCCTACACGGGCTGAGCGTCCTGTATCTCTTAGGCTTTTGTTGGGCTATCAGCAGGCACGAACCAGTGCTGGTTTCCTACCAGACGAGCACCTCTACCACCTGTCTGTCCTCCGGCAAATGCTAGCTGGGCGAAGAACATCCAGAGCAGAAGATGAGGCGCTGTGCATTAGCACGCTTCTCAATCTTGCTTCAGATGTGGCTGACAAGATCATCTGTTCAGCTGGGGAGGCGCGCATGGCTGCAACATGGGACCACCTGCCCACCATACCGTTTGGGATCGTCTTCTCCAAGTCGACGAAGAAACTGAACATTTAGGGGGTTCAATGGGCGCCGTCGACATTCACGGGCGACTCGGACACCCGCCTCCAGCATTGGGAGGGGCCCAACGTACCTGAGCGGCGCTGCCCGCGCAACGCAACCCCAACGGGTCTCGACATAAGCAGACCGGCAGCGCGTCTCGGTACGTGCGACGATCGTTCCCGGCGAAAGTTCAATAAATTATATCATTTACAGTATTTTCCAGACGGGAAGGTCTTCGTGTTGCGCGACCAGTTCGTGGTTTGGTGTGACAGTGCGCTGGAGGGGTGTGGCACGCCAGACCGCAGAAGCTTTCACCCAAACGAAAGTTCATGATCATCACGGAAGAAGACCTGCAAACCAACCTGATATCACAGCCGGACGAAACGAGCGCGTTCAGTCCGCTCGTAACGGGGCAGAGCTTGCTGGCATCGTATCACGAGCGTTCCATACGAGGGGCAGAAGGGGGTCCCATTCGAGCCAGGGTCCATCGCCACGTCCCTTGCACCATGGTATTCGAGAAGCAGAATGAAGCTAGAGCGTTACTAGTGGCTTTGACAGACGATTTCTGTTCAGGAGCTCTAGCGGAAGGAGACCAGGAGCCCAGTTCTGATCTGGCCATGAGACGTTAGCCAGTAGATGCTATGGTAGGTTTCCTGAGAGATCATCCGAGTGTTCTCGATCTCATGAAAGCCATCCATCCATGTGCCCGGGCAGTGGGGGGGGGGGGGATGCCGACCTCGCCGTACGCCACCGTGTTGACCTTGTGCAAGCCGTCGTCGAATATGGTGATTTCCTCTCGGTAAATACGACTATAACAGACAGAATCTGGTGCCTTGTGATTAGTCAAGTTTTTGATGGATACATGTTTACGAATCATCGTGAGCGTCCAAGAAACGAATGAGGACTATAGTGTTGGCTCAAGACCGTTAGATTAAGGATAGCTAAGGCACAGCAGACGACGAAGATCGAGTGTAATTTAATGTTTCATGTTTTAATCTGTCTCCTAATCTCACGCGGCATCGAAGCGGGAGACCTGGTTGGGCCAAGAACAAAAGAACACCCATCCCAAAGTCAACGCTGAACAACCGTAACCCTAATGTTGTCTCCCCCGTTTTATACTGAATGCCTGTTGCCCGCCGATGAGAGCCCTCTAAAACTCATAAGAAACAAGTGCCATGCACGCCGGGCGGCTGGCAGGTGAAGAACGTAAGACAAATTTCCAACCCGTGTGAGAGTCCGACTCTCCGATTTCACCGATGCAATGCAGAAATAACCTCCTCCCGTGTAAACCTGTTTTCGCGAACCCCTTGCAAAGAAAAGCAACCGCAGACTTATGTACCGGGCAGAAGAAAAGGACTTTTTGTGTAACGAAAAAAGGGAAGAAAGGGGAAATAATTACAGCAGAAATTGACTCATGGACACCAGAGCCAAATGAAACAAATCTATCAAGGACGCCAGTCCTGGGAATCGTGAATCGACTCTTAAACGCCGCAAGCTGAAGGTCGATCCGTATACCGAAAGAAGGTGAAGGAAATGTGTCATTAAGGGCAGACCCAGAAACGGCATTCTGAGGTCAGGATCCGAGCCCGTGTCGTAAAATGTGAGCAGCCATTGTGGAAGACTGTCCGTTCAGTTTCGATGGTCGTCGGAATATGCTGCATCGGCAACGCTTTTTTTGTTGTTCCGTCGTAAGGGTATCTGAAGAAACGCATCGTCCTTTATTCCGTAAAACAAGAAATACCAAGTGCCCTGGCTTGGGAACAACGGATCATGCAAAACTTTTCTTCAATGTCGTCAACGCCTCAGAATCTAGGCAGACCCAGAAGAGCAATTTCATCAGGATGCACCATGATTGTGCTCTAGCTCATGACAGGCTGGCCAAAAAAGCCGTGCTGCTTGGCGGGAGCCACACAGTTCGGGCAGCTACACTCCGCGATGCCATGTTCCCACATGCCCTGTCCTTGATTGAAGGCGTAGTGCTGGGGGTAGGTGGCGTGGCGGTGGCCGTAGTAGGAGGCGTGCGCAACAGGCTGCTGCTGGTAGCGTGCATTCCATTGCCCATTGGCGGCAGCAGAAGAGAACCATTCATTGTAACGCGCGTTGGCTGAGGAAGCCGAGTTCATGTACTCAGGAGTGCCGTAGCCGGAATCCGGGGGAGTGAGAGGCGCGGAGGGCCAGCCCATGCTGGACGAATTGACAGACCAGTCAACAGGGCCCATGCGATAAGAATGAGTCTGAGCCATGTCACCACGCTTGATGGACTGGTAGCGCTCATACTCGGCGGCTTGTTGCTGAACCCAAGCGTTGTATGAGTTGCGCCCACTGTATCGTGTGAGATCGGTATCAATGGCAGGTACCAGAGATGCGAGCCTATCCCGGTTGGCACGAGCGACGGCCTGCTCTTTCAAGACCTTCCAGTCGTCCCAGCTCTTGAGCCACGCGTTGTAATCCCGGCTGAAGTCAAGATTGACATAGAGCCCGAAGCTGGACTCGACGAGCCACTTCTTCTCCATGGCGTTAAGTTCGGTGACCGCGATGCCACTAACCTCAGCCCAAGAGCGGTTCTGGAACGTGTTGTCGTCAAGGAACTTGCTCGCGAGAATGAGCGAGACGGTAGCCATGCGCCAGAGGTCAGCATCAGTGATGTGGTAGACGCTCTGCTCAGGCATGTTCATGCGCTTGGCGAGGTAGTTCATACCCAAGAGGATGGTGCTCTTGGGCAGACGCGTCGACGATAGGATACCGGCGATGAACTTGCGGAAGGAAGAAGAAGCCGCGGAGCCGGGAGTCACGACGCTGGTCGCCATTTCCGCGACAAACTCAGCCATGTGCTCGACCTCATAGTCGAGGACGGCACAGACTCCTCCTCCAGCCATGTTGGCGGTTGATCAAGAATTCGACGAGGATCTGGGGATCTCGTCGAGATGTTTACGCTTTGGTTAGAAAGCGTAAGGATGACCGGTGGCAACGAGTGGCGATGATGGAAAGACTGGCAGATTGCTGGCAAACGCGCGGCAAAGGAAAGGGGATGGCGTGACGTCTAGTAATTCCGGCTCTCCATAAATGAGATGCTGATCCGAGTTCTACTTTGAATGCGGAGTGAGGCTGGTATGAAATGAACGTCGATGACTTCCGTGTGAGACGTGTATTAGGTGTCGTTTCGAGAGCGAAGCCGCACAAGTGGGTGAGAGCGCGAACCGGGTCGATCAATGAAGATGATGGGAAGGGCGCAGAAGGGAGTCGATCGGCAAATGATGCTGCAGAGGCAGACGAATTAGTAAACAGACTATCAGTGGTAAAGCAAAACTGTGTTGTGGAAATCCAACGAAATAAAAAAAAACGAGTCGTCTGTGCCTGGACCTGATACACTGTTTACGTCCTGATGCGTCAAACAAGGACGGGCCGGGACTTTCGCGTCAAAGGCTGCGTGTATGCTAAACAGCTGCGTCTGGATTGTTCGGACGACCCATGCCGAGGGACCCTTGCTCAAAGTGATAGAGCCCTGTCGTAGTCCGCGTCTCTCATCCGGAAGAAGACCCAACTGGGGACTGCGAAGGTGCGACGGCTCAGAGGAATATGCATCTCGTCTTTCGTGTGAGAGCTGTTGATGACCTCGGTATTCGACTTCTTACTCCTTGCGTCATGGTCGAAAGTGTATAGGATTCCAGCCAGGGCAGAGAGGCAAGCATCGACTAGGACAGAAGCATAATCTGGGAGTGTTGACAAACCTCGTAATGAAAGAGCACCGCGAAAGACTCAAGAAAGAGGAGGCTCGTTGATATCGTTAACGCTTTTGTTGCGTAGTTGGATATTCGTTGTTGACCGAGATCGCGAAGTGCGAATGTACGACAGAGAATGATATCCTAGGAGGCGGAGGCGGGTCGACGACTACTCGAAGGCAAATCGGTTGGTCGAGGACACAGGATACACGTCGTGATCGTCAACGTAAGGCTCGTGTTCGCAAAAGGAGAACCCAGAATGTGTTGATGGGAGAGAGGAGAGTTGGGGGGGAGGAGGCGAGTAGAGGTCGAGACGAGAGAGGAGAGTGTGTAGAAAAGAAAAGAGACGGGTTGGCAAGAGAGGATGACGGAGGGAAGAATAGCTAGTGTTCGTGGACGGGTTGGGATCCAATGTGAAGGTCTAGGGTGGACACCACCAGATGGAGGAGCGGGTCTTCGGGGAGACAGAGAGGACTACGGATTGAGGGTGCGGTAAAAAAAGGTTGGAGGTGTGTGTGGGCAGAAAATGAAGGCCTGGCGTGGCGGATGGGATGGGATTGGCGGCAGGGCAGCGGAACGAGCCAGTGGAGGCCCAGGCAGGCGCGCGAGGCAAGTGCGAGAGAAACCCAGTCCTGTTCCAGTGACAGTGGTGCAGGGTAATGAAGAACCCCGGCAAGTTCAGTGGACAGTGAGAGCACCTAGCGGCCAGCGAGAGTGGACAGGTACGATGGGGCAGGCGCCAGGTGGTTCGGACTGTCCTCTATTGGTAAAGCACCTACCTTAGCTAAGGCACCTTACCGTAGTAGACGGGCAAGGGTCGGTGGAGGAGGGACAAGTACACCTCCGTGCACTGTGCCGTCATGAATAAACAGTCAGGCAGGCAAATAAATGTAGGCACACAGGTACCATGTAGACACAAGCAGGGAGGGGAGGGGAGGAACGTGTGTACCCAAGGTACCTACCTACACGAGAGCGCCTAGGAGACCCTTTGGGTCGCTGGCGCCGAGTGACCCCTTCTCCTTTCTCCTGCCCTTGCCCACACACACCCAATCTGGTCCAGACAACCTGGGATCCCCCACTTTGGTAACCCCGTACCAGTACTGTTACTTCCGGTCAGGCGAGTAATGAGAACGGGGGCATCGAAGGACTACCAGGGTGGACAGAGCCTACGGCCTGCGTGTCACTGGTCACTGGTCACTGGGGGACAGTTCGTTCACCTCCACATGCAGCAGCAGCAAAACATCGAGAGTGGGAACGCCAGACCCCGGCCAGCAGCAATGTGCAACGTAATGATGA